TGTCTCAAAAAGAAAGGGGCTGGGGATTTAGCTCAGCGGCACAACACCTGCCTAGCAAGTGCAAGGTTGTGAGTTCAATTCCTGGTACTGGAAGAAAAACAAAAACAAACAATCAAAAAGAAAAGGAAAAAAAACCCCACAAGACTCTTCTAAATTCTCTTTCGAAGACCATGGACCTTCTTGTTAATTGGTGACTGAGGTGTGATAGTTGCACCCACACCTTTTCCCAGAGCCTTCCATGCCTCCAGGCCCAGCAGGAGTTTAGTTCCCTCTGGAGCAGTGGGAAGTGCCCATGGAAAGCAGACCGCCTTCTCTGCAGAAGGAAGACTCGAGCTTGTCTGCATGCAGCAAGGGATTGAGCGAAGGAAGGCAGGGGCCAGGGTGAAAGGGGACGTGGAGGCCTTCAGGCTGAGGGGCTCTTCTCTTGTGGGCGAGAGTGGAGGCTCAGCAAGTTTTGTGGCTTGTCCAGGCTCACGCAGCCCCAGGCTCATCCAGATCACATTCTTTCTGCCTTGCCTCACCCTGTGGACAGACAGACAGATAGGGAGCAGAGCTTCCTAAGTGTGCTCATGCCACTTTCTCATTACGTGTATCAGGCATTGTCCTCTGCTCCTGGTGACAGCTTTTCTCTCTCTTTCAAAGAGTGTCTTATCTGTACCGTGGCACACAGGAGGGTTTATCAGCTGGATGCTTCGCTCTCCCTTCTCATTGTCTTAGAGCAAATATGTGCAAGAGCTGGAGACACACCAGGTTCTGTGTTCAGGTGTGGGTATCAGTCCTTACGCAGGGCCTGGCAGAAGTAGCTGTTTGGCTGGGGTTTGGGGTTTTAAAACTTGGCACTACTTTCCTGGCCTCTGAAGATAGCAGTTTGCAGAACCTGGTTGGTATTCTCAATTCCCTCACTCGCTGCTCTTCGGTTACTGGGTTAACATTAACATTAGTTCAGTTCTAGATTTTATAAGAGTTTAAGAAGCTAATCACTGAAGTATGGAATTGATCCTTTGCCCGACAGTGTATTCATCATCACCAGTAGCCATTCCTTCCAACCTAGTTGGGTTTCCTCCTACTCATCTTTCAGCTCCACTTGAAGCCACTCTTACAGAACTGTTCTAAGTTCTGAAAAGACTAAAAAGAACACTATGTGCAGGGCAGGGTGTGGAAGCTATGGTAGCTCCTTTCCATGGTGAGGCCTAGCTGGGGCCCAGCTGGGTGGTATTGCTCTCCCCACAGCTGCACTGCTCTGCAGGACAGACAGAGCCCAGGACCCAGTGTTTCAAGAGGACCTTGGCCCTCCTGCTGGCCTGTGGTGGTAAAGCCCAGCCCCTGTGGGAGGAGCCCACATCAGAGTCTAGTGCTGGGAGACACAATTCGGGACCAGAGGTGAACAGGCTTTCCTCTGCCAGTCAGGGTAGCAGAGTGAGAGATTGGAGACACAGGTTCTGGCCTTTGGGATACCAGGTGTCCTTGCAGGGAAGCATGAGACTATCTGGGGACTGAATGAAGGTCTGGAAGGGAATGGTGACTCTGTCCCTTTCTGCTGCCTGTTACTACACACGGACACAGAGATTTCTGTCCCAGAGGTAAAAGAGTGGAGCATTTCTTTAGGAAAGAGGTTAAACATGGTAATAGATGTGAATAATGCAGTAGAAGGTGTGGAGCGTCCAGCTGAGAAGGAGCTTGTGGGAAGTAGGACAGAAAGAGAACAAAGGTGATTGGAGAGAAAAGAGTGAAGAAAGCAGAGCAGGAAGCCCAGTAAGCAGCTGTTGGGAACTGTGTCCACGGTGATTAGCATCACCTTCCAGATGTGGAGACCGAGGCCATGACAGGTGCCTGGTTGACTGGGGTCAAGTGGTTCGTTCGGTTCACTCAGACCCAGGTATCTGACTCCACATGTGCAAGTGGAGCCGGACATTAGGTACCCCTGAGCGAGGACTAAGTGGGATCACAGGGTGAGAGGAGGGAATGTCCCAGCCTGTGAATGCTTTGTGGGGAGGCCGCAGGTGCCTGGGATGTGGGGAGGACAGGTGGTGTGGCAGAGCCAGGCGGACTGCTTTTACCTTTTCACTGCTTTTCCCTTTCAGGAGTTGCAAAGAATGGGAAGCATGAAGTGGACAGACAATCACTGAGAATGTTATGGGATGGGAAATGATAGGGGCTTTTCAGGGAACTAGTAAGAATCTGCAGAAATAAAAGGACGCAGGCTGCATCTCCATCAGCTCAGAGTTCTTTAACCCATGGGAAACAGAATGGCGCCTTGCAGGAGCTCAGTGCTGCTCGGGGTGGAGCGGGCCAAGGAACCCAGGCAGGATTCGGGCTTCGATGGCTGCATTTGGACAGTGTTCATTTTTCCTCCTTGCCTCAAACTCAAGTCACAGAAGGCAGAGGCATTTTTGAAGAGAGAAATCCAAAATTGAAAATGAAAGACATGCAAAGTCTGGAAATGACCCCCACCAGTTAAGTGGCCGAGGTGCTGGATTAGAAGAGTGCATGTCACGTGTACGTACCCAGGTGGATCTCGAGGGAGCTGGCAATGCCTTGGTTGAGAGCAGGGAGTGGCGCAGTTCTTCACTGCCCATGCGGGTAGCAGGGTAGGAATTCAAGACCCAAATCCATTCCCCTGACCCTGTCCCCAGAACCTTGGGTGGACAAGTCTTGTTCTCCTGCACCCAGCCTGGCGCATGTGCGGGGACAGTAACCACTGACCACTTGGTGAAGGACTCTGTGATAGACCAGTGCCTGACAGGCCAGGCCTCTGAAGACTGCTTTCTGAGTGCTGCATGAACACGCCAGTCGGTCCCTGTGTGGGGCCGGCCCCGTCACAGACGTGGAGTGCTCCAACCTCAATTTTACTTATTTATTTAGTTAGTTAGTTAGTTAGTGCCAGGAATCAAACTCAGGACCTTGCACTTGCCAGGCAGGCGCTTGTGCCACTGAGCTATATCCCCCGCCCTCTAACCTCAATTTTAGAGTTCTCTTTGGTTTGCAGAGCATTTTCCATGTGTTTGCTGGTACTTGGAGAGGGGTGGCTTTTATCAGAGGAGAAGCAAGGCTGAGATCAGTTACAGAGTGTCAGCACTGTCTCTAGCCCAGCCTCAGTCCTGTGGGGTGGTTACTAAAATACCAGTACTGCATTTTAATCTTTGTTTGTTTCTCTTATTTTTGATACCGGGAACCAAACTTAGGACCTTGCACTTGCCAAGCAGCACTTGTGCCGCTGAGCTATATCCCCAGATAATCTTCGTTTCTTAGGATGCTATTGGCTCTCAAAGTATTCTTGAATACCCCATGCATGTGCTATGTTACTAAAATAACATTAAAATTCTCTAGTAGGCTATATCACAACTGGGAAAGTGAATAAAATTTCTCATTAACTAAATTACTACTTTAGAATACCTGCCAAGACACAACAGGGTACAGTGGCAGCTTCTGACATCCCTTTAAGCTCATGGTGACCCTAGGCCTTACGATCGTTTGAAAAATGTGAGATGCTACAAGTAGTTAAGGAAACAACCAAAGCCTGGTAATAAAACTTGCTTTTGCGCACAGAGTAAGAGGTAAGCTCTTTGTTTCCTTTGCTCTTCATATATGAGAAGATACATACTTACATGTTTATATATGAGAGCAAATATATATATAAATAATAGACTGTAAATTATATATAATGTATAAAAGTATTTACTTTCATATATAAGTACATATCTGTATACGTAGTTTCCAAGTCAGAGCTCTGAAAATCCCTAGTCACTAGGTTGTAATGGTGGTTTGGTGCAGCCCACTCAGAGCCCGGAAGGAGCTTGCTTAGCAGTCCCTGAAGGCCCTGTCCCGTGCCCTGCACTGCAGACAGTTCTGGGGTCACCGGCACAGCGACACAGGCTCGCTGTGCAGAGCAGTATGCAGCAGTCAGCTGACCCGGTGTCAGGTTCAGGGTCTGGGGAGGTGGAATGTAATTGCCGTCCTCATCGCACCTCGAACATTATGGTAAGCAGACCCTCTGTAAAGGAATTGTGGGTCCGCTGGTGTGTCGGACTCACATCTACCACGGCTTCTAAGAGTGTTTTTAGAGGAAAAGTCGGCACTAGTCCAGCCCATTTTTCAGTCTCCCTGTTAGAAGCTGTGGCATGATGTGGATAAAATGTAACTGTGGATGTTCACAATTAATTGTTTTTATTGTAGTCTGTATCTTGCTGCTCAAACTGTATAAACGAGGGGTTTCTTATTCAGGAATCTGTAGGACTTGTGCTGAGTCATTTTGAGTTGAGTGAGTGGGGTAAAGTTCTATTTTTAGTCTTTCAAGGCTGGCTAAGGGTACTGGGTGCTCCAATCTGTGCGTCTGTGTGGTTATACCCACCGAAAGGGACTTGAATCCAACTTAAATAGGGCTTTGGCCACTGAGTAAGTCTAAAGTTCTAAGAAATACATTCACCTTTTATATCTGTTGTAAGATTTTCTTCTTGTAAGAAATCAAAACTATGAAAAGGTCTAAACGTCTGCATAGTGAAAGATTATTTGCTTTTGCCTGTTTCCAACATTAATTTTTCTTTAAAAGCTGGACTCTTATTTTTATCTGCCATATTCCAGATTCTTCCAAGTACTCTTCCTACATTGTGCTCCAGTTCTGTATAGAGGCTTATACTTTGTTCCTGACTAACCTTTAAAGGAAAGCTAAGCTTTCGTGTTTGCCCCAGCACTGACTTCTTCTCTGTTTCCCTTTTTTTGTTGTAGTGATGATGGTTCACTTTAAAAAAGAAAAAAAGAAATGACCTTTTCTTTAGACTATAAACTCCTAAAAGACCAAAATGAGTTATTCAGTGATTTTTCTTTGCATTGAATCTGTACAAACCATTTTGTTGCTGACAGATTTTTAAACTCTGGTATTTAAGTACTGAAAATGTGTTTCTTTCGGAACACAGAAGATTGATAAATGTCTGTTAACACAGAAGTACATGAATGCCCGCGTTTCTCTCCCTGGTGGTGAGCTAACAGTCTTTCTGTTGTCACAGAGCTCTGGAATCGAGACCTTAGTGGAGGAACTCTGCTGCAGACTGAAAGACCTGCAGAGTGAGCAAGGTGAGCCTAGCTCCGTTCTTGAGCAGAGGCGGTAGCAGGAGTGCAGCCCTGCTGTGGCCTGAGGAAAACTTAGAACTGCTCAGAAGTCTTCGTTCATTGTGTCCTGAGGCCAGCGCTCTGCTCCATCTTTAGCTCTGCTAATGTCTTGTGTCGGCCCTTTACAGTCATTCAGGGAGGCTGTACTCCCAGAAGAGAAGAGGGACTTCACCTCTGGGCACCCTGAGAGAAGGAGATGGGCAGGGGGTTGTTTTTGTTTTTGTCTTGGTCTTCAACTCGAGCCTCAGAGCTCAGAGCAGTATTTTCTCTGTCCACATCCTCGTCCCCGTGTTGTGTCTGCCTGTTGATATTACTGCCTCCAAAATGGAGACACTGATTGCCGATTGCTTCAGGTTTGGAAGGAACTTCTGCTCTGGCTTGAATTTTTTTAATGGGTAGATTTGACAAACTTATTAAGTCATTTTGATATGTGAGCCTCACAACTTTTTTTCCTGACAGCTCTGCAAGACCCAAGAAAGAGACTTAAATTTGAAGGCCAAGGATCCTCATGTCTTCACCCTCATCATGGTTATTTTTCTGTGTATCGACCCTTGAGCCTCCATTTTTCTTAAACCTCCTGTTAGGGGCATTGTTTGTTTGTTTGTAACTGAAGGCAGTAGTGTGAGCTAAGATAAAAGTATACAGCTCTTTGTATTTGAGTGGAAACAGCCCTTTCTCACCTATGTGTTAAGTAGCAGTTAATTGTAATGAATTTTCTTTACAGATTAGTATGAGTCAAACTGAGTCAATATAAAGTCAGAATTCTGTGAGAAGATATCTCGGGGATCTGAACAGACCTTTCCCCGTGGTCTGATGCGCACGTGCTAGGGATGTCTGAGCCCCCAGAGCACAGTGTGGGGTGGGGTGCTCACCTCTCAGCCTGGTGCTGAGTCTCTCCTGGCACACTGGAGAGTAGGTGTGTACTAAAAAAGCAAACTGGTATAGTGTTTTCTTTTTAAGCTGTAAAATCCTGTTTTGTTTCTGATTAAAATTACTTGAGAAACTTTCTTTTAAATGAGGATTTATTAACTAGATGTGACAAATCTTCCTGAATTTTTGTTTCATAACAGAAGAGAAGATTCACAAAAAGTTGGAGGGGTCTCCCTCTCCAGAGGCGGAATTATCCCCCACAGCAAAGGATCAAGTGGAGATGTATGTAAGATCGTATTCAGTGTAAAATACACATTTGTTAAGATCAGACTAATAACTGCTACGTGATTTCCGTTTCATCATCCACTTAATTTCTGTCTTCATAATGTAAAAAATATTTATTGAACACTTATCACATGCTTGACACTGAGAATTCAAAGTTGAATAAAATAGTCCTATCCTTACCATACATGTTCAAGAAATACTGTGAAATGGATGAAACAAGGACAATTATTGTTCACAGTCCATTGAGACATTATGGTGACCCTTGTTTACAAGCAGGAATACAGCTTTGACTGCTTGTTGCAAAGGGTGTATAGGCAAATCCTTGATCCAGTCAGACCTGTTTCCTGTACTTTTAGTGTTTTCTTTGTAAATGACTAATACTAAAATCTACATTTTAAGCAGATTTCCTTTTTATACATTATATTTTACTTTTTTGAATCTCTACAACCTAAGGGAAGAGTTGTATTTAATGGTTTTGTGTAGACCTGTGCTGTCCATAACTACAAACCACAGGCGACTGTTTTGCACTTGACACGTGGCTAGTTCAAGCTGAAATGTCCTTTAGTTATGAAGGTCTCATTAGGTTATAGAGACTTGGCATAAGAATGTACCAAACATTGCATGAATTATTGTTTAATACTGATGATATGTTGAAATGATATCAGTTTATTTGATTAAATAAAATATATTATTGTAAAGTTAATTTTACCATTTCTTCTTACCGCGTTAATGTCATTGCTAGAATGTTTAAAATTACATACGGAGCTCATGATACATTTTTTCAGACAGCTCTCATATAGGCTGAGAAGGAGAATCAAGTTCAGGTCCTCTTGGGAGCATGGCCTTCGCCAGTTCTTACATGACCTTGAGCATTGTCCCCACAACAGCACCCTCCATGCCCACAGGGCTTCAGCTCTTCTGGGACAGTTTGTTCTGCTCTCGGATCCTCAGTGGTTACCAGTTCCCTAGTAGGTCAGAACCCCGGCAGCCAGCCTCCTGGTCTTTCCTTCCCTGCATTTCTAGGCCTTCTGCCAGGTAGGCTCGGCGCAGGAGCACAGCCTGTGTATGTCGCCAGGTCCTCTTGCCTCGGAGCCTCAGTGAACTCTGCCCTGTGACTGCAATGCTGCACTAACGTCTTGCTTTTCTCCGGTGGCTCTAGGCCCTACCAGCATCCTCTTCCTGAGCACTCAAGTGTGGTTGTCCCTATGCTCCCAAGGGCCTGCTGAGATGCTGGGCCCTGTGCTAGCATCCTGAGATACAGTGACAGGAATCAAGGCAGTCCCTTAAGCGGGCGCTTTTCTGATTGACTTCACATATATACCTTTAGTGTTGATACCACCTCCCTGTAAGGGGGATGTTCTCACCTGCTGCTTTGTGGCCAAGGAGTCTGAGCCCCAGAGAGATGAAGGGACAGTTCTAAAGTCATACAGCTAGCACGGACAGAGCTGGGATCCCGTCTCAGGGAGTGTGGCTTCAGAGCTCATCCCCTAGATTCATTACTTATCCCGCTTTTCAGTTGTGTAGATTTCCCGTGCTCAGAACAGCTCTGTGAAGTAAGTCATATGCTCATCTTTCACAGTCATAGGCATAGTGAGGAGTTGAGGCTCAGATCTGAACATTTCGCACTGAAAAGACTATGTTCTTTCAGACTATATTTGTCATTTTTACTTCCTAATTAAAAGTCAAGCTTTAAAAATATAGTTGTCATCTTACATAGTTTCATAATGTTCATAAAGTGCTTATCACAGTGCTAAGCAAAAAGGTGCTTGATGCACAGGATTAATGTTCGGCATGTTTTACAGTACTGCAAACTGTTGTAAAGTTAATTCATGGACAGTGTGAATGTTGATTCGTAATGCAGTATTCCACTTCTTTGCTTGGTTGTGTTGTTTTCCTGTGTGGAGTGCATCTCATTTTTGAACACACCTCTGTTTTTCAGGTATTATGAAGCATTTCCACCACTTTCTGAGAAACCAGTTTGCCTGCAAGAAATCATGACCGTGTGGAACAAGTCCAAGGCCTGTTCTTACTCCAGCTCCTCTTCGTCATCTACAGCACCCCCAGTGAGCACAGACACGTCCTCTCCCAAGGACTGCAACAGTGAAAGCGAAGTCATCAAGGAAAGAAGCACCGTGCATGAGAAAGCCCAGAGCAGAAGCAGACATGAGAAGGAGAACAAACTGAGTAATGGCACTGTGGAAGAAAAGCCCGCCTTGTACAAAAAGCAGATCCGACACAAACCAGAAGGAAAAATGCGCCCTCGTTCCTGGTCCTCTGGCTCCAGTGAAGGAGGCTCAAGTTCAAGTGGTAATCAGGGAGAAATCAAAGCATCCATGAAGTACGTTAAAGTCAGACACAAGGCGCGAGACATTCGAAACAAGAAAGGGCGGAATGGGCAAAGCAGGCTGCCCCTGAAGCACAGTGAGAAGGCAGAGAGGAGTGTGCATGCAGGCAGCGGCAGTAGCAGCAGCAGTGGGTCCATCAGACAGCTGTGCAAGCGGGGTAAGCGACCAGTGAAGGAGGCAGGGAGAAAAGATCCTGGGAGCACTGGAGGAAAAGAGCTGTATGCGGAGAGCAGAAACAACAAGGAGTATAAAGAGGAGCCGTTGTGGTACACCGAACCGATTGCTGAGTATTTTGTTCCTTTGAGCAGAAAAAGTAAACTAGAGACCACATACCGCAACAGACAGGATGCAAGTGCTCTGACCCCAGAGGTGGTGGAAAACTTGTCTGAATCAGTGCATGGTCTTTGTATCAGCAACAATAGTACTCACAAAACATACCTCGCAGCAGGTACTTTCATTGATGGTCATTTTGTAGAAATGCCTGCAGTTATAAATGAGGATATTGACCTCACTGGGACCTCATTATGTTCTCTGCCAGAGGACAACAAATACCTAGATGATATTCATCTGTCAGAATTAACACACTTCTACGAAGTGGATATTGATCAATCCATGTTGGATCCTGGTGCCTCAGAAACAATGCAAGGAGAAAGTCGGATCTTGAATATGATTCGACAAAAAAGCAAGGAGAATACAGATTTTGAGGCAGAATGTTGCATAGTGTTAGATGGTATGGAGTTGCAAGGGGAACGTGCAATATGGACAGATTCTACCAGCTCTGTGGGTGCAGAGGGCTTGTTCCTGCAAGACCTCGGCAATCTGGCTCAGTTTTGGGAGTGCTGTTCGTCTAGCTCTGGTGATGCCGATGGAGAGAGCTTTGGAGGTGACTCTCCAGTTAGACTTTCTCCCATCTTGGACAGCACAATGCTCAATTCACACTTGCTTGCTGGCAATCAAGAGCTCTTTTCAGATATTAATGAAGGATCTGGTATAAACTCTTGTTTTTCAGTGTTTGAAGTGCAATGCAGTAATTCTGTTTTACCATTTTCTTTTGAAACACTCAACTTGGGAAATGAAAATTCAGATTCTAGTGCTAATACACTTGGGAAAACACAATCTAGATTGCTAATATGGACCAAAAATAGTGCCTTTGAAGAAAATGAACACTGTTCTAATCTTTCAACAAGAACTTGTAGTCCGTGGTCCCATTCAGAAGAAACACGTTCAGACAACGAGACGTTGAACATTCAGTTTGAAGAATCCGCACAGTTTAATGCAGATGATATTAATTATGTAGTTCCTAGAGTCTCGTCAAATTATGTAGATGAAGAACTTCTAGATTTTTTGCAAGATGAAACTTGCCAGCAAAACAGTAGAACGTTAGGAGAAATTCCAACTTTAGTTTTCAAGAAAAGATCTAAACTAGAATCTGTCTGTGGTATTCAGCTAGAACAAAAAACAGAAAACAAAAATTTTGAAACTACACAAGTATGTAGTGAAAGCAGTCCACATGGAGATGGCTACAGCTCAGGGGTTATTAAAGACATTTGGACAAAGATGGCAGATAGAAATTCTGTGGCTACAGTAGAAATAGAAAGAATTGACGATGAGTTGTTTTCAATAGATGTAAATAACTACTGCTGCTGTTTAGATGCTGAAGCGAAAATGGAGACCCTTCAGGAGCCCAGCAGGGCAGTGCAGAGATCCGAATATCACCTCTGGGAGGGACAGAAAGAGAACCTGGAGAAGAGAGTCTTTGCCTCCAGTGAGCTCTCCAAGGTGGACGGTGGTGATTACACCACGCCTTCAAAACCTTGGGATGTGGCCCAGGATAAAGAGAACGCGTTCATTCTTGGGGGAGTCTATGGAGAACTCAAAACCTTCAGTAGCGATGGGGAATGGGCAGTTGTGCCGCCGGGCCACACAAAAGGAAGCTTGCTACAGTGTGCAGCTTCCGATGTTGTGACCATAGCTGGGACAGACGTCTTTATGACCCCAGGAAACAGCTTTGCCCCTGGTCACAGGCAGTTGTGGAAACCCTTCATGTCATTTGAACAGAATGATCAGCCGAAGAGTGGGGAAAATGGGTTAAGTAAGGGATTTTCTTTTATCTTCCATGAAGACTTACTAGGAGCTTGTGGTAACTTTCAAGTTGAAGATCCTGGACTTGAATATTCATTCTCTTCCTTTGACTTAAGTAATCCATTTTCACAAGTTCTTCACGTAGAATGTTCATTTGAACCTGAAGGGATTGCATCTTTCAGCCCTACTTTTAAACCCAAATCAATCCTCTGCTCTGATTCAGACAGTGAAGTGTTTCACCCTAGGATATGTGGCGTTGACAGGACACAGTACAGAGCCATCCGGATCTCTCCCAGGACGCACTTCCGCCCAATCTCTGCCTCGGAACTGTCCCCAGGAGGAGGGAGTGAGTCAGAGTTTGAGTCTGAGAAAGATGAAGCCAGTGTTCCCATTCCTCCTCAGGTTGATGTATTTGAAGATCCACAGGCAGATCTCAAACCTCTGGAAGAAGATGCAGAAAAAGAAGGCCATTACTATGGAAAATCAGAGCTTGAATCTGGGAAATTCCTTCCAAGGTTAAAAAAATCTGGAATGGAAAAGAGTGCTCAGACATCACTAGATTCCCAGGAGGAGTCAACTGGGATTCTGCCAGTCGGAAAGCAGAATGAGTGTTTGGAATGTAGCATGAGTGAATCTCTGGAAATAGATTTAGAAACCTCAGAAGCAAATTGTAAAATAATGACACAGTGTGAGGAAGAAATTAATAATTTTTGCAGTTGCAAAGCAGGTTGTCAGTTCCCTGCTTATGAAGATAATTCAGTTTCTTCGGGACAGCTGGAAGAGGTATGTTCCGTGTGTTTGGTATTTGACAAAGGATTTGATCAGACTTTTAATTCAAGAATAGCACTGAAAGAGAGAGGTTAAACTGTTGAGAAATTAGCTTAAATGTCTTAGGGCTTATCATTCTTACGATTTTATGTTTATGGATTTAAAATGACCTGATACGTATAAATTTGAACTAGTACACATTTAATAACAAATGACAGGTTTTAAGATTCTTATGTGTTGGTGTTAATGCAGTATGCACAAAACAAAAACTACATGTAAGGGTTCTGGCTTTCAAAGCCAGTGGGCCAGGGTGTGGCTGCTGGTGAAGCTTCTTCAGGTAGCAAGCCTGTCCAGCTGTCTCTTCGATGTTGATCCGTTTTGTTAAAGCTTATGTTTTACATGTAAAATGATTTATATCTACTCACTATTTTAGAGAGTGCTCAGTATTTTAGAGGAGTAGTTTAGAGAATGCTTGTGAAGATGGACCCACAGTTCAAATGTAGCACAGTATTTTCTACAGAATCTAAATAGTGTAGCTTACTTTACACAAAGTAGATTCTGAAAGCTCTGAATTCTGTTAAGTCTGTCAAGTTAGAGCAGTGTCAACAGTTTTGTTTTCAAAATCAGCATATCCCTTGGTTATATTCCTAAGAAGTGTACCAGAACTAACACCAGCACTTAAGGCAATAGCCTGTTTCCAAAAAAGCATTGCTGTTGGCCCACTTTTCAGCATTATTTGACAAAACAGTGCCTGGCCTTTCTCCAGTAGCAGCTTGCTGGGCAGAGTTGCAGCCGTCTAGAGGTCACGCCCCTGCGGTGCAGCAGCGAGCACTGCCTCCTTCCCGTCTCCCTGGATGCTGAATCCCATCCTTACCACAAGGCTGTCCGCACACCACCTCCTTCACCGACACTCTCTCCCTCCTCCACTCTGACCCCTCAGAATTAATTCCTTCCTTATCTTCATTTTTCTGTTTTTGATGCCTCCTTTTTATTGCATTTCCCATGTTATGTGTGTCATGTGTGGTTATCAGTTTTCTCATGACTATGGCCCGTGCCTTACTCAGTGCCCAGGTGTCCAGCTGCTTGCCCACAGTTTAGGCATCCTGGGTTACTCCAAGGTCGGTGCCACTAGGAACCCATAGGGGGATGATCTTAGTCCCTTCAAATACTCAAATCTGCACTGTAAGCAAGCACTGTAAGTTGATAGCCTTTATCTGTTGTTTATTGCCCCCCTTTTCCTCCGTAAATAGTCCTTTATGTACTTTGTATTTCACCTGGTTCCAGATTGGGAAGAAAGAAAAAGAGGAAAGAAGCAAGAGTCTGCGTCATATCACTACCATATTCCTTCGCTTTCTAGTATGTTGATGTATTTACCTGTTATTGGAATTCTGGGTTTTCCTGGAAGGCCTTAGCTTCCAGAGGACATTCCTGGGTGTCTGGGAGTCAGGTGTTGGGGGTACCCAGGTCTCAGCAGCAACACTGAGGTGTGGCGCTGGGTTGAAGAACTGGACAGAGTAGCCTGAAGAAACCGTTTGGGACCAGGCCAGGACTAGATGCTGTGCCCTTCCCTGTCCCTTTGTTTGGTTGTCCTGCGCAGCTCGTTGGAGGACGCTCCTTCCCCTTTCTCAAGTGAAACCATTCTTCCCAGGGCTTCATTCAAAGGCACCAGCACCCCATCTCTTCCAGAGCAAGCAGGATTGCTCTGCAGTTCTAGTAGGTTTACCACCAAAACTGCTGTCTGGGAGTTTCCCCAAAAGTTAACTCAGTGGACATTTACTGAATGCCTGCTACAATGCCTGGTACAGGAATTGTAACGAACAAGACTTTGTCATTGCCTATGACAAGTTCAGTCTAGGCAAGAAGACCAGTTTGCAAATAGTTTCTTTTGAGAAGTTCCAAGAAGGGTGTACACAGTGTCGAGCCCTGTCCCCAAGAGCCATCACTAGTGTGAATTGTGGTGGGCCCTCCGAGGATATTCCTGCATGAATAAGTAAATACATAACCACATATATTTCCTCCTATTCTTTCTTTTTGACTGAAATGGCATTTTACTGTAATCGCCCTTTTTTATCTTTTACATGCTCCAGTATATGGATGCATCATAATTTAAGTGGCCAGTTCCTTGTCTTCCAGGGTCTTAGAGCCAGCTGTGTTTTAGGCAGTGTGGTAAGTGGGACAGCACAGCCAGGGAGAGGGGCGTGGGCTGCTAAGGGGCATGGGGCACACGAGCGTGCTGTGCTCTCAGTGTAGGCCAGAGTCGGGAGTAGCACAGAGGAAGCAGTGTGCTGCATTGTTTGTTGGTTCCCTAAGTTTGTGTTGAAAGTGTCTCCCTGTTGCCGTGGTTGCCCACTAAGTGTCAGGCATCTTGAAGCTCAGAAAAGCAGCGGAAGGCTTAGACCCTGACTCTGAGGACTGACCAGTCCAGCTCTGGAGAGGAGGCCATCTTGCCATGTGGGCACTGTGCTGTGAAGGTCACCCGTATTGTATGCCACACAGTCCACCCGTAACAGGGCTTTGTCTCCACGCCCCACTGGATACCCACGTGTGTTCATTTCTCTCTTGACTGCGAAGGCCACATAGGCTTGGAGGGGCAGGAGGCCTGCCCAGATCCCACAGGAAGGGACAGAATCTGAGCTCCACCCGCTCCTCCACACAGCGTGAGCAGGGGGGTGAAAACAGGCAGCTCGGTGCTGCTCGGGTCTCGGTGCACTTCCCTCTCCTCTTGTTGAGAGGCCTGTCAGTTCCCTTTCCTTTTGCAACCCAGGTGACTGGGAACTGCCTGTAGCAGAGGGGCGCTGGAGCTCAAGTGGCTTCCTCTCCACCTGAACTAGGGTGTGGGTGAGCATGTGCGCCTCTGTTTGCTCTGCCTGACTTCTGTCTTCATAAGTACTACTGAAGGTGATGTCTGTTGCTAAAAGCATTTCTTGTCAGGCCTTTTTGATTGTGCCCTTTTTTCTTTCCCCATTTCATCCATTCATTGAATGCATACACTGAATGTCTACTATACCAGGTACTATCCTAGGTGCTTGGGATGGACAGTCACATTTGTGGAGCTGCCTGCACCCACCCTCAGGGAGCTGACAGCAAGCACATGAAGTTACAGGCTATGTTGGAACATAAGTTCATCCACGTAAGAAGACCTGGGCGAGGCATGTGTGTTTGGGAGTGCCGGGAGGTGCTAGCCTTGTTGAATAAGCGTGGTGAGGCTCCACACAGAGCTGCTGTGGAGGAAGTACTTGGAGCTGAGGGTGTGCAGCCAGCCAGACCACTGTGCACCTCCTCCGGGCAGTCCTGTTCTCTTCCGCTCTGCCTTTAGTTAACTGTAGTTCACTTTTTGTTTGTTTTCTGTGGTGGTTTTTGTTTGCGTTCTTTTCCACCACAAGCAAACCAGAAGTTGCGTTAATACAGTAGGCAGACATTGAGTGAGTGAAGAAGCAGTCATCCCTGCTATGTGACCTAAAAGTTGAAACAGCTGAGTAGAAAGATGCCATAAAAGGGTGCATGCACCCTGCCTGTGTTCACTGTAGCAGGAAACAGAAGACCTTGGTCCCTGCTGTAGGGGTTGACCCTTACGGAGAGTGCCGAAATGGCTTCTAAAGTTACTGCAGGAACCCTTCAGTTCTTGCCAGTGGTCTCCGCAGGAGACGGGGCAGTGAGGTGCTCGGCAGTCAGAGACCAGCCCAGAGACAGTTTTCCCAGATACTGGAGAGCATCTGGCAGTGCCTAGCAGAGCGAGATAAGCAGGACAGTGTCCTGGCCTTAAGAGACAGCCAGTGTGCTCCCATGGCACCTGACCCATCTTGGCATGTGCCGCCAGTCTGCTTCGTCACCATGCCCAGTCCTCCGAAGGAGCTCTTGTCCTCACCTCCTTAACTGTCTCAAGAAAGAATGAAAAGATAAGCAGTGTAATTAAACTCACACTAATAAAACCGGTAGACAGGAAGTCAGGCAGAAACTCTGGCCTCCAAAGTGATCTCTCTCCGTGAGTGTCTTGGGGTGAAGAAGAGGATTCTGCCCAGGGGATTCTTTCTCCCTGGCGGCCTAACTAGCTGCCAGTAACCACAGAACAGCTAAGGGCTTTCTGCAAGGGCTTCCGGTGCTGGTGCCATCTCCACCTGAATCAGCCTTGTAGGAAGCAGCCTCGTGTGCATTCAGCGCAGACCTGAGGTTCCCTGGGCCGTGATATCTGTTTACCTAACAACAATACTCACTTTCCTTGTTAGGCGAAGTTGCAGGACAGAGTAGTGACGATTCACTGATAACACTGGGTAGACAGTACAGTTCTTCTTCAGTTCCTGATTTAGGAGTATTTCTGAAAAGTTACGCTGAGCGAAAATGAAAGTTTGAAATGTGTTTCCCATTTAGTTACATGATAAAGAGCATGTTACTGAACCAAGCAATTTTAAACCCATGAAATATTTTATAGTTAAAAGCATAACAAAACCTTACTCGAGAATTGAATCTTGGCTCGGGGATCTAGCTCAGTGGCACAAGCACCTGCCTGGCAAGCACAAGGTCCTGAGTTCGATTCCCAGTACCAAAAAAAGGAAAAAGAATTGAATCGTTAACTCGGTTCAAATTAGATCACGGATTGAATTCCTTAGTTACTAAAACAGTTCTAATTTTAAACGGACCCATGATGACCTGTGTAAGAGCAGTGTTCATGTCTCTCCATTGCAAGCACAGTACAACAGCTCTGGTAGTTAGAGATGTTCCTGGACCTCGGCCTGGGGGAGCTCACTGGCACGCTGCCTCCCAGGCACAACGAAGAAGGTGTGAGAAGGGGGTTGTCCTGCCAGCCTGCATACCAGATGCCAAACGCAGCTGGCCTTGTAAAGGATGGCACCAACTCAGATGTGGCCCCTCTTGTGTGGCCAGTGCCCTCCACACTGCTGTGGGCACATGGGCTGTGGGGCGCAAGCCTTCCAGCTCTGTGGTCCTCCCCTCATTTCCTTTGGATCACTTTGTCCTGTTTTGAGCTGAAGTTACTAAATTCATAATGTGTGTGTGTTTAAATCTCAGCGTTCTTCTGGTGGTTATCTGAGCAGATTTATTATAAAGGCACTCAGGTCAATAACTCTGCTTATGGGAATTTTCCTTCTATTCCTTTTTTTTTTCACACTCCCTCTTCTGCTTGGTTATGTGAGAAGAGGACCCCTTGTTCCCTGTGGAGCCCTTGATTTTCAGGCCGCCGGGTTACAATCTGCATGCACTTCTGAAATCTAGGCATTGGTCTTCATTTGAGAATATCTCTTCTTATGCCCTTTCTTGTAGCAGTTATTCAGTTTTCTCTGAGCAGTAGTAGTATTGTTAAGATTTTAGTTCCACATCCAATTTGTGCTTGTTTTTTTTTTTTTCTCCCACCATTAAAGGCAGAGTCTCATTATGTAGTTTAGGCTCATCTTGATTTTTTTCTTTTTTTTTTTTTTCTCCCACCATTAAAGGCAGAGTCTCATTATGTAGTTTAGGCTCATCTTGAAGTCACTGTGTAGCCCAAGCTAGCCTCAAACTCATGGTGATCCTCCTGCTTCAGCCTTGTGAGGTAATAGGTGCTTTTAAAGAAAACTTCCAGCCAAGTGTAATGGCACACTCCCATAATCCCAGCGTTTGGGAGCAGAGGCAGAGGCAGGGTTGTGAGTGTGAGGCCAGCTTGGGCTATGTAGTGAGACCATGTCTTTTTTTTTTTTTTTTTTAAAGGAAAGAAAATGTCCTTTATTTGCTGTGAACACATTGGCTTTTTCTTTTCACCTTACCTACAACAGTAAAATCATCCATTTAAAATCCTGAGTGTATAGTAAGTAGTACGCCTGGAATTTTTTACTGTGTGCTGAAAGTTTACAAATGTATTCTACATTTGATTTTAATCTAAATAGTTTCCTGGATTGAACACTGATGTGCAAGAAATGAGTAGAAGTCAAGAAAAGCAGATCTGGTGGGAAAAGGCCTTGTACTCTCCCCTTTTTCCTGCATCAGAATGTGAAGGTAAGAAGACCTGTGTCCATCCATTAACTCATTCAGACGTCTGTTTCACTAAGAGCAGTAAATTCCCAAGAGTGTCAGTCTGAGGCCTGCTTACCAAGAGGTTTCTTTGTGGTCAGCACTTGGTTGCACTCCAGAACACAGAAGTGAGTGAGAATTCACCCATGGGCTGAGAGAGGGGAAAAGCTTGGAAGTTAGGAAAGCATAAGCATCCTTTGGTGAGAGATGTCCCAGCCACCCTGGCTCATGGAGGAAGAGGTCATCTGGCAGTCCCAGCTGGAAGAAGGCAGAAGGATGTATGGCAGCTCAAGAAGCAGGAAGCTGTGGGGCTCAGCAAGGTTGTAGCTGAGTTCAGAGCAACGGCTGGGAGGAGCCTGTCAGGAGGGTGGAGAGCTTGGCTGCCTTAGAAGCATTCAGTGTGCAGGGAGGGGTGGCTGTAAAGGATCTTATTGTGGCGGTGTCAGGCTTGGGTGCGTGCTGAGAATGCTTCTGGCTGTGCTAGAGACAGCATGAAAAGGTTCCTGGGCACCTGCCGGGCCTCCAGCAGCAGCTTAGGAGTGAGGGGGCAGCAGGGGGTGCAGATGCAGAGAGCTTGGGAGACTGGTAAGGATGCTGAGAGCAGGGGCTGACTGTGAGGAGGAGGAGTTTGCTCCCGGACAGTTCTGAGTGAGCACCTGCAGAAGCTGTAGGACCAGCAATCCTGGGAGAAACAGGCCAAGGAAATGACCTTGCTGGGTGGGCTCAGGCAGTCAAGCTTGGCAGGCGTGCAACTTGCTGGGCTTCCTGCTCCCATTGTGTCTGGGGCAGTCAGTCCTTGCTATCAGAGCCTGGGGATTATGGCAGTCTTTTGTGCCTGTTTATGCATTCACATCCCTCATGTCTTCCCCGATTGGACTGCAGTTAACTTGGAGACAGTGGCTTCCCTCCTTAGCCACAGTGTGTGCCCACATAGCCTGCCAGGATTGGCTGTTGGACTCTTCCTTGGAAGTCTTTCTCTGTGCAGTAGCCACAGAGGGCTTCTTCCCATATCCTGCTGTCCTGCCCAGAGGTCTAGTGGAGTCGTAAGGAGGTGGAGAGCTGAGTCTTAGTGTCTGTTTCTTCCATGGTTGCTGCTCACTCACCTTAGTGAGTATCTGGGCAGCCCTTTGCTACCTGGAAGGTGTTCGTTTGTGTGGCTCCTGCAGGAGTGTATGAGGTACTGCCTTTTTTCAGTGGAGGAAGCAGTGTTGCAAGGTCAGTGGTTTACCCATGTGCTGCAGCACAGTCATTGGGCCAGGTATGTGTGCTGGAAGTTTTGACCTATGCACAGTGCCCTGTGCTCGTGCCAGGAGCTTTCAGGGTTCTAGCAGCACGGACCTTCCCTCTGTGAGTGCCAGAGACATCAGTGCAGCTAACAAGACATGAATGGCAGTGTTGGAGCTGTATGCACAGGGAGAAGCCCGAGGGGGAGGAAAGGTGTTGCCTTGTGGCACTCGACCACTCCACGTGGGGGTTTTCAGACAGCCCTGCACCCGTGCTTCCTTGGCCTGGGGCAGCATCTGTCACTGGTTGGCAGGAGTCCAGTCCAGCTCAGCTCCTAAGTCCTGGGTCAGCCCTGCAGTCTCTGGCAGGTCTGGGCCAGTGATTGTTCTGCGGAGTGCTGTGTATGAAGTGGTTTGGAGAGGAGTTCGCAGTGCCTGAATGTCAGTGATGTGTGTGCAGTCAGCCCCTGTGGTGGCTTGCAGTGGCCTCAGGAGGGGCTTTGCCAGGAAAGCGTCCACTCACACGCCCAGCAGAGGGTACAAATGATTAATCACAAGCAAGAGCATGCTGCTCAGCCAGTGCCAGCCGCGGAGCTCTCAGCATCCGTGCACAGGGAGTGTCCTCACTGGCAGGAGGGCAAGAAGATAGAGCCCAGGAGCTGGGGTCACTTGTCACTGCCCCATCCCTGCTGACAGTAGGGTAGGGAGTCGGAGCCAGGGAGTTGGGACCAGTTGCCACTGTGCCTGTCTGGCCTGAGCATACCCTTTTGGCACCTGGCCCCTGCTGCCCTCACACATGGTGCTTCCTACAGCAAGTGTATGCCTTCCCTGGGCTGGTACTGCTCTGGGCTCTGGGAATGCAGAGACAAATTTGTCCTGTCCTGCTGGCCAGACGCCTTCTGAGGAGGAGCTTGAGGAATAGACTGAAACCTTGTGCCAGCCAGGGCTGCCTGCTGGGTCGGTGCAGTAGCAGTACACAGAAGGCTTTCAGACACTGGTGCTGCCCTTCAGCAGTGCCCAGCTGTGCAGAGCTGGGGCAGCTGAGCTGTTGCTGGGGTGTGTGTGGCTACAGCCTTGGAGAGAGAGCCCTGGCCGGCAACAGCTCACAGTATTAGGCCTGTGCTGGAGAGCACAGCTGAGCTGAGCTGAGACAAGCTGAGCCGGAGCCACTGGGCCCAGCTGCCAGACCTGGACAGCGATGGACCTCTCTGTACCTTTGTTGCCTTGATTGGTAAAGGAAGCTGAAAGGAATGCTGCCTGGTGTGGTAGTCACGAGGGGTAAAGACCTTTGAACAGCACCAACTGCACATTGTCACTCAAAAAACCTGGGGCCTAAGGGGCTGGGGATTTAGCTCAGCGGCAAAAGCGCCTGCCTGGCAAGCGCAAGGTCGTGAGTTCCGTTCCCGGTACTGGAGAAAAAACAAAAAAAACCTGGGGCCTGTTCCTAGGAATGTCACTGGAAAATTGGGACAGAGTTGAGTATCGGGCCTTCTTAGTGACTGCCTAGGGGTCTCCCCCACCATCCCCATGCCTGTCTTCATCCAGAGGACACCCCTCCCCTGCAGCCCCAGTGGGGTGGGGGTAGGTTGTGGGCGCTTGGGTGGAGGTAAAGCAAGGTCCCCAGCCTCCTCAGGGATGGTGGCTTCCACAGCAGCCCCAAAGCCATTGTCCTGGACTGGTCCCTGTGGCTGTTACTGTACCACCTCCCACGTGGCACCTCTTTCTGCCTGCTCAGAGCCCTGGGAGGTGCAGGGAAGGCCAGGGCCAGGAGAGAGTAGGTAATACCTGTATCCCAGGGCTGGGCATTTAGCTCAGCGGCACAGTGCCTGCCTGGCAAGTGCAAGGTCGTGAGTTCAATTCCCGGTACCGGAAAAAAAAACAAAAACAAAGAAAAAAACCTGTATCCCAAGAGCCCTCAGCACGAGTGAGCAGCACCTCCTGGAATCTACTTGTAGGACACCAGAGCCTAGGAGATTCTCAGGAACCCAAGCTGGTGGCTTCAGTGCTCGCGACCAACCTGCTGTGCAGTGTCCCGGGAGACCTTGCCCTTACCTAGGGCTGGCCTGCTCCTCTGGGGCTTGGGCACAGGGTGGGTGTGGCATCTCATTGCCACCTTCTGATAACTCTACTAGCGCAAGGGGCCTTAGAGGACTTGCTTGTCTGAGCAGACGTCAGAGCCAGGTGCTGCCTTCTGTGTGCCTCAGGAAGCACCACTGTCCGGTTTCCCCAGAGCAGTCTCCTGGGAACCTCTGAAGGTTGGGGTTTCCAGAGCTGCCCTGGGGACTTGGAAGTGCAGCCTGGGTGGAGAAGGAGGGACTTCCTGTAAGTTTGTGATCCAGCCTGCGTGTGCCTCCTGTGCTGTGGTCCATCTCTCCCGTCAAACCCGGAGTCTCACTCCTCTCTCCATTCTCCAGAGGTGCTGCACATGCAGCGGCCTGGTGTTGTCAGGGAGCCCCCTGGTATGACCCTGTGTTGTCTGCAGCTCCTGTCCCATACTCATGAGCAGCATTCCCAAGGTGGTATCTGTCTCCTTCCCTGTGCGTCTGTCCTGGAGAACACAGACCCGATGGTCTTCCTCATCCTGAGTCCCCAGGGCCTGTCACAGTCTAGGTATAGAGTGTACTTGTTGAACGAAAGCCTCAGGTAGAATCACAGGGTGTATGTTTAGCTGGCCAGTTTTTTCCTTTTTTAACTCACTAAGCAGTGTGGCCTGAGAATTTTTTATTGTGTCATGATTTTGTCAAGTGCACCTGGCTGGCTGTCCTTTTCGTGGCTACACAGACTCTCCAGAGGGTTGGGAGGCCTCCCTTTGCAGTGAGGAGGGAACAGGAATGTTTCGTAACTGTGCCTTAATGGAATTTCCCCTCTCCCTCTTTTCCCTTCTCCATTCACAATGACTAAGAATGTTATACAAATGCCAAGGGAGAGAATGGTATAGAAGAATATCCAGATGTTAAAGAAATGCCCAGTAATGAAGAGCATCTGTTAGATTTTAATAGGGTAAGTGGATTGTCCTCCTTGCTGTTAACTTAGAAACGGCCGCCCCTCCTGTGCTCTAGTCATATGCCCGCCCAGGTCCCCAGCTCTGTGGGCAGAGCCCCTCCCTCTGGCCTTTTCCTTCCCACTGTGCCTCTGGAGTGAACACAGAGCTGACCCCACACCCCTCCTCCCGGCCTCGGAGTGCACCGCGTTGGGTGCTGTGCTTGCCCCTGTCCCCGCCTCTGTGGGATGCACACTGCCCTGTCCGTGGCCACCGAATGCGTGTGGCCACATCCATGGTGTCTGCCTTGGGCCACCTCAGAAATGCCTAGAGGGCAACATGGGCCAGTTGGCCTTGGCACGGCCTTCCCCAGGCAGGTGGGCCCACAGTGGGCTCTCAAGAAACTCTACTGGCTTCCTGGTGTTGGTTGTCCCTATAACAGTTGTGCTCCGGAGCACCCTATGGTGCTGGTACCCCTGCTCCCCTCTGGGCAAGTGACCCGTGCCATCCCCCGTCAGTCTCCAGCCCTGACCCACTTCCCCTGTCATCTCCACAGAGGCCACCTGCCGCCCCATCCTCTCTGCCCTACTCAGACGGCCACCCCGCTCCTCACCTGACAGTGCCTCGGTGCTGCCTGCATGCTCACAAGTGCCGCCCAGCCTGCACGATGTGCAGAGTAGAACACCAAGCCCCCAAAAGTGAGAGCAGGGAGTCAGGCAGTGCAGACCCAGGCTGCGAGCTGCAGTCTGAGGCCAGGCCCGACTCCTGCCCGCTGTGCTTGGCAAATGTGGACTCCTGCTGTGCCTCTGACCTGTGTGTTCGCCCCCCTGGTCTCACATCCCCTCCTGGCACCTCACTCTGTCTTCCCTGTGCTCCTGTCCCAGTTCTCCATGGGGCAGTGCTGCCACTTGGAGATGGGGTGGGGCTAGTACCAGTCTCAGAGACGGGTTTGGGGAGGCCGTGCTAGCTTCCGTGGTTGGCAGGGGCTGCTACTCACACTCCTGTCCTGGGGGCCAGAGGTGCTCGCCATCTGACACAGGAGACTGCAGCCAAGAAAGAGTTCGCCCTAAAAATCACTAGGTGAGGGTAGGACCCCAGATCACAGCAGCCTTGGGGCGGCTGTGCCCGCCAGTCCCTCTGCCTCTGCCACGCTGTCCCTGGGCTCTACCCCAGCACATGGTCATGTGCAGTCTGGGCTTGTGTGTGTCGGTTTGCCTGTCCATGTCCTCCCCTGGGCTGTGAGCCTGGAAGGGCCTGTCTGTGCGTCCTCGCAGCAGCGGGAGTCCTGCAGTGGGAGTCTGGCGGAAAGTGGAAGTGCTCCCTTAGCCTGGACTGATGTGACCACGCTTGTCTAGGTGCCTGGGCAGCGTAGACCGGGTGTGGAGTCCTTCAGGCAGTAGGGAGGGATAGCGGCTTGCTCTGCAGCAGGCAGCTCTCCAGGGCTCTGCCTCTCCACAACAGCACACCGCAGCTCGCATCCTCTGTGGAAAGGGCAGAGTATCACAGCTCCTTGCGAGGACTCTGAGTTCTCATTGTTTGAAACTGCGTCTTGCCTTGCAGGTGTCTTCTGTCTATGAGGCACGATGCACCGGAGAGAGTGATCCTGGGGCCCGGGCAAACGGCCTCCGCAGGAAGACGCGCTCCAGCGCCAGCTCCGACCCCGGAGACTCGGGCTCCGATGGCAGTGGCGAGTGGGTGGGCACTCGCGAGGAGGCGCTCTTCTCCCGGACTCACCTCTGACCTCGCACCTAGTGCGAGCACTTTCTAAACACTGTGTGATGGGAAACTGCCCCTTTGGGAGGCCTGTTCATCTAAAGCAACAACATAGGTTTCTTCGAGTAACTGATTCTGATCGTGATTCTTTCTTCTTGCTTATTTTAGCGTTGAGGACAGCTGTCCTGTTGAAGATTTCTTTCCCAGCTGTGCATTCTTGGCTATTGAATAGACTAGATGTGCTGTCCGATCCAGAGTGGGTGTGCATGTGCTTGTCCTAGAGGTGTCGCTGCTCTTGCCTCGTAGCCGCAGGCCTCTCCCTTGCACTGTGATGGCATCACTGTCACTTGTCCATCCTACGCTGCCAGCGCCACTTCTGCTGTTCAGAGACTTCAGCTTCGGAACAATTAGCTCTGTTCTCTAAGCGCTGGGAGATCATTCTCACCCTGCAGCGGGTCAGTCCTTTCTGGGGGCGGGAGGGAAGCGTAGGTGACTCTCCCCGTCTCCATGCAGTAGAATCTCATGAACATGGCAGTAAGAGCCGCAAGGGTGTGCGTGTGTTTAGACTTTCAGAATGCTGTGTTTCCTACCCTGGGATTGCCCCCTGAAGTATCATGAGATACTGTGGTGTGTGTTTCTTGCTAACTGAGGATGCCAAGGATTTGGGGCATGAGATCAGAATGCCTGCCCCGCCTGCCCGGTGGGTGTCACAGTGCGTCCACCCCGAAATGCAGGCGAGGCTCTCCATAGAGTTGTGAGCCCAGGGGCGGACCTTGGTTGCAGATTGTGCTTTTTCTAGTGACTATTGAATCAGAGTCCCCAAAACTTGAAGTTGTGAGCGTTGGACATGGAATAAAGGCCCGGTCACCCCACAGAAACCTTTGGCTGCTGCAGCTGGCTGCTTGTGTGGTGTGGTGTGGTGTGGCTGCTCTTGTCCGTGTCTGAGAGGATGTGCTGGGCAAGTTCTGCGTGCCATGGCCAGCTGGCTGTGCTTCTCCACGTGCCCCTATGATTGCTGTTAGGGTCGTCACCATGTCTTGGTGACCCCAGGGAGTCAGTCTGTCTTTCACATCTATACCTTCTGCTCACCTCCTCTAGTGACACTGTGTGGCAGGATCAAGCCAGGAGGGGCCATCTTGGCAAAACCTAAACATTTTAAGTTCTTCTTTTTTAACCAATTCATCCTCTTAGAAAACATCTACTCCGTGCAGTCAGTTGCGTGTGTCTGTAACCTCAGGAATGGCGGAGAAGCCTGCCACGGCCCCAACAGCCTCACCACTAGTCTTCACAGGCAGCAAGCTGAGCTGCCCGTGGTTCGCTCCGAGCGTTTGGGCTTGTCACCTTTTTCTCAACTGATAGCGCAAAAAACACCACATAGGCTGTGGGTTCTTGAGTTTCCGTGTCACACTTCTCTCCCTGAGCAGCCCTGTGTGCTCGCCGGGCTCCGTCCCACCTCCCTTTTAGGGTTCACTTTTACACAGCACATCTTAGACACTTTACAGTGGTGTGTGTGCGCGTGTGTGCACGTGCGTGTATGCGCGTGTGTGTGTGTGCATGGGTAAGGTTTTATGTTGCTGTTATTTATTTACAGACATCAGATAAGTTGTTATGTATTTTCCTTTCTTCTGGAGCTTCCTAAAAACTGATTAGCATCTGCACTGAACTATAATTTAATAGCAAAAGCAAAAAAGAAGTGGAAGTTGTGAATTCCTAAAATCACTGCAGCGGCGGTTACCCTAGAAGTCGCTGCTCACGAAGCAGAGACCAGATGAGCAGGTTTGCGATGCAGCCTCGAGCTGAGAGCCTTCATCGGGGCTGCAGCGGTCAGCGCCGACGCCTGCCCCGGGGCGGGTGGAGCAGGAATGGGCCAAGGGGTGACGGATTCTGTACTGATTTGTTTTCGTAATTAAGTGGCTAAAGCTCAGAGACTTTCGGCAACAGTTGAAAGTGTGGTTTTTAGTTTTTGTGAATGGATGATTACAAAATGCATTAAAAAAAAAGTTGGCAAACGCTGAAACGCATTGTGGTGTGAAGCGCATTGCATATCCGTAGCACTGAAGTATCCGTTTCCATTCCTGGGCTGAGATTTTTTTCCCGTGGTTGTATTGTTCTGATTTCACGTACACCAGAATAACAGATTTTTTGTTTCTTGTGGAGTTAACACCAAATAAAAATTTAAAAAAAAGTTTGTCGTTTTTGTTTATCATAGCAGAGCATTTTGTGCCGACTGTGTACTGTGGAGGAGCTGGAGCGCGCCTCAGCCTGACAGTAGGCGCCGAGCAGGCTGGCGAAACCACAGCCGGGCCCGGCCAGGCCGCTCACCCCGACACCCACAGGCCGCCCCGGCCCTCCGCTTTCTCTTTCTTGTTTGCTTCTGAAAAACTTCTATGATTGATGTTCATTCATAAGAGAAGTCAGGATATATAAAGAAGAGTGCGCCAGGTGTGGTGGCACATGCCTGTGATCCCAGCACTCAGGAGACTGAGGCAGGAAGATCCTTTCGAGTTTAAAGCCAGCCTGAACTGCATAGCAAGACCTTGTCTCAAAAATACCAAAAAAAAACATACAAAGAAGAGTGAGGGAGGAGGAAAACTTACCTGTCCTTTATCCCTTTGAGCTGGAGTTCCCGCCCCAGTGTCCACCCTGCCCACGCTCGGGGCAGGTGTGAGCATGTCGCAGAGGTCACACTGCAGGCTGCGTTCCTGTGTGCTGTGACTGCAGATGGTAAGGGGAGAGCTGCGCTTGCGCCCCTCCCCTCAGACTGAACAGGCTCCCCTGGTACATGTGGGATGGCCCTCTGTGTTCCCAGGTCCCTGATGGCACTTTGCAGACAGCCTCACACAGGCACATCCCTGACCTGGCCTGCCACCACACAGGGAAGTCCTGGCACCCCCGTGTTAGCAGCAGGAGCTGCAGGCGGGACGTCCAGTGCACTGTGTGGGGCTAAGACCCTTCCTCACCACTCCGGAAGCCGATGCATAGCTCTTCAGATGAGTGCATGCCTGTCGTTTGGGAGCAGGGAAGGTGTTCCGCAGAGAAGGGTTTACATTGTCTTCATGGTTTCTGGGGCTTAATGGGCACATTCTTAATGGTTTTCCCCACCTAAGAGTACAAAACCACTCTCCTGCCCGGCACTGTGGCACACACCTGTAATCCAAGTACTTGGGAGGCTGAGGCAGGAGGATTGTCATGAATTTGAGGCCAGCCTGGGCTACAAAGACCCTGCCTGAAGAAAAATCACTCTCCTGCATCTTGCTAGCTCCTGTGTGCTTTGTGCAGAGTTCATTTTTGATTTACAGGTCTCTTACTTCAGACAGATTTTGGCATCAGGTTATATGTCCCTCCCTTTCTTCCAGTTACCTGTGTTTTAGTTGATTTTCCCTGAGTAGCTTCAGTGTGGTGGTTCCTCTGGCTATGTTGCATGATTCTCCGGAGTTTTGTTTTTGTTTTTTTAATGTGGTACAGGGATTGAACCCAGGACCTTGTGCATGCACGGCAAGAGTTCTACCACTGAGCTGCATCCCCAGCCCCAGAACTCATTTTTGAAGCGTACGTATTATGCACAAGATGTGAGGCTTAGGGATTTGGTCTTCTCCCCAGGGGTGCTCAATCACCCCAGTAGTATTCATCCGTTACCACCCATGGGCGTGAGGGGGCAGAACACTGCTGTCCCTTTCACCAGCCAGTTTGCTTTGGGATCTTGAGGAGGGAGATCCCTGGGGTGGGGGGTTTCTCCGGCCAGTTGGGCAATGCTGTCGGAGCAGGGGTTAGTGTGCTGTAATGCCCAGCCCAGTTGGCACGGGCTATAGCTCTCCTTGGCAGCAGAGCCTGTGCTGGAGACACGTTCATGGTGAGGTTTGTCCTGTAGAAGGCACCTGAGGTCGGGCACCTCCCCTGGGATCTGCATTCTGTCCTGATTGTCGCCATGCCATGCCATTCTCAGGGTGCCCACACTGGCACAGCAGGATCTCGAGGTGGCTGTCACCCAGGGATCAGGCCCAATCCTGCTACAGGATTTCTGATGTCACAGCTTCAGGTTCCATAGAACAGGCAGAGGGGTAGGAAGTCCTCTGTCACCCGCAGAGCTCCTGTTACCCGCACGGCTCGGGTCACTGCTTTCCCCACTTGTGCTCTGGTGTTGCCACTACAGGCGCTGCCCAACAGGGTCCAGGGGCACAGTAGTGGCTGTGCGGTGCCCAGGGCCTGCCTGCATCTGCTCAGAAGTGCAGGAACCAAAGGGACGCCTGGGTCTGGCTTCTCTTGAAGGCAGCAGTGCAAGTAACCTCAGGCTGATGCTGTCGCAGGCCCAGACAGGAAACCACTGTTGCTGCATCCTGCCACTGCCTTGCACCATGCGTATGGTGGCTTAGTAGCACTTTCAGGAACCCCTTCCACAGTCAGATGGGCAGAGATGTAATGATGCCACCCCCTAATGGGCAGCAGTGACGGTACCGGCTGGCACCTGCTGGGCTCACGACAGGCTAGGCACTCAATGCCCTGCTGGTGACTGACTGCTCCCCCGCTTTCTGCAGTACTAGGGATTGAATGCAGGGCCTTCGTGCTAAGCTACATCTCCAGCCCTTTTATTTTTTTTGAGACAGGGTCTCGCTAAGTTGCCCGGGCTGGGCTTGGAATTGCGACCCTCCAGCCTCGGCCCCAGAATGTTGGGATTTGCAGGCTTTGGCCACTGCACTCGGCTCAGCTGCCCCCTTCACAGGCGCTCTGGCGGTGCTCACCGAGTCCATGGGCCCTAACTGGGGCAGCGTGGCCCAGTTTCTGCCAAGCAGCCTTTTCCTCGCCCCTGGGGTGCGCTGCTTGCTACCCACTGACGGAATCATTTCTGGGATCCCGAATGGTGTCCCTGGGCGTGAGTGGAGGCCGTGAAAGGACCTTTGTCACATGCTTGGTAAAATGGCCTTCCTCAGAGTCACTAAAGGGCAATGGTCAACAAGACGCGCCCCTGTCCCAGGCTGAGGAGACCCTGTGTTCCCCATGGTTTGCTGGCCCCTGACGGGAAGTACCAGATTGGAAATGCAAAGAGGAAGTTGCTTCAGGCATCCTGTAACCCCGGAGAAAGTCACGACTGTATGGGCTACGCCTCCCTCTCCCTGTGGCAATAGAGTTCTTCAAGGACGCTGGCCAGGTCAGTGCCCTTGGTTTCCATGGAGTCCACGGAGGTCAGGCACCACTGGGCGCTGCCAGGGTGCTGGCCATGATCCTGTGACCATCATGGGACTGGCTCAGGCCTGCCCACCTGGAGCAAGGCGCAGGGTGCCATCCTCTGCTTGTCCCCAGCTCTCAATAGCCCTGGGGCCTTGTGCTCCCAAGGGGACCCTTGACACTTCCCTTTGTGACCCCAGGAACACAGTGGTTACAGCCCTTTGCCACCAGCGGCCCCACCCCAGGCCTGGCAGGCCAGCTGGCCGCTGGACACATGGGTCACACCCAGCTGAAGCCTCCTGTGCGCCCCAGGGACCTGGAGCCTGAGTCCTGGGTGGGGTCAGCCTCTCTGGGCCAGCCCCACTCTGCAGCCTTGATCCAGCCTGGCGTGCCCACCGCTGTCGGCAGAGTTCGAAGGACTGTCCTTGGAGCACGCCGGGGTGAGCAGGGGGTGCTCGTGGATCCTTGGTGCTCAGTGCTGCCCCCAAACCTGGCAGCTCACATCCCCACCCTGCTGCCCCTCCTTCCAGGGCACCGAGGCAACTGTGGGCCCGAGGCTGGGGGTCCTGCTGTGTTCCAGTCTGCCAAGGCCCTTCTGCTGGAGGTGCAGGCCGGCCCCTGTGGAAGACGGTTCGAGCCAGCTGGGAGCCCCTCCCTTCCTAAGGCACAACCTGGCCCTGTGCCAAAGCCGGGCTCCCGGCCAGAGGCCCCCACGGGGCTGGTACCTCTTGTCGGGGCCTCAGGCCATTCTCCATGGCTTTTCTCAGGGTGCAGTTCCTAGTGGCCACGGATATCACACACAACCCCGCATGCTCCCACAACCTGCAGGCTTTGAGCCGGTGATAACAAGAGACCAGGGCAGCCGCCCTGTGCTGGGAACTGAGCGCTGCCTCTCCAGGCCTCACTGCGGCCACACGCTGACTGCAGAGGCCGACGTTGCTCAGCCTGGGACCCTGCCTGGACGACACGAGTTGCCTGTGGCAGAGCCTGGGTTCTCAGCCCCTCTTGCATGCTTTGCCCCACAGCTGAGCTGGTCGCGGTGCCCACCCTTGCAGCCCAAACTTGCCTGCAGTCCTGGGTGTCTTCATGCTGGCATTTAGCGGCGGAACGGGAGGAAAGGGAAGTCTCAGCCTTGGTCTCCCCAGCTGAGATCGAGGTGGGCCACTTCCTGTCCAGGGAAAGCCTCTGCCCCAGGCTAGGTGTGACAGGAGCCTGGCCCTGGGCACCTAGTGTTTGCAGAGCAAGCAATGCCATGCGCAAGGCACCCCTCCCCCTCTTGACATAGGCAAGGCCTCCTTCAGACCGCAGGGAGAACTCTCCAGATCCCAGTGTGGCCCCAGGGGTCTCGCTGGCCTTGGCTCTGGGAATGCTGTTTCATGCCCCCGTTGGAAGCTGTTAGAAGGAAGATGCTTGGCATCAGCCAGGCTGGGAGGCATGGTCACTTGCTGGGCTGGCCGGAGAGTGGGGCGGGAGCAGGTGGCCGCCGGGTGACAATGTCCTGGCTGAAGCTCACAATGGACCACTGATGTGGGTGGGCAGTGTGACCGGGTCTGAGCCAGCCATAAAACAATGGAATGAAATTGAATGAAGTGGAGTCCAGTGCGGCAGCTCTCCAAAGCCAGGCTTTAAGAGGTAGCAAGCAAGGTCTGCAAACGTTTGCTCATTCATGCATCAAGCACATCTCGAGCCTACTGTGTGTTGGCCCTAAACACACATGCCAGCAGTGCCTCATTCTTCTAAAGCAAATTAAGCATGTTACTGCAGAAAGAATGACTGTCATCAAGAAACAAATAATAAATGCTGGAGAGGCTGCATGTTCATGTTCATAGCACAATTCACAATAGCCAAATCTTGGAAGCAGCCTATATGTCTATCACAGATAAATGGATAAAGAAAATGTGTTTATACACCACGGAGCACTACTATGCTATAAAGAAGGATAAACAAGTCATTTGTAGGAAAATGGATGCACCTTGAGACCATAATGTTAAGAGAAATAGATAGACGAGCTTAAATATCACATCG